ATCCCCTCCTCCCACCTCAAGCCCCACCCCCATCTCCTACCTACTAACCTCATCCCACCCCCTTGACCTGTCCGTCCTCCCTGGACTGACCTATCTCCTCCCTACCTCCCCACTTACACTCACCTTTACTGGCTCCATCCCCGCATCTTTGACCTGTCTGTTTCCTCTCCACCTATCTTCTCCTCTATCCATCTTCTATCCGCCTACCCCTCTCTCCCTATTTATTTCAGAACTCCCTTCCCCTCCCCCATTTCTGATGAAGGGTCTAGGCCCAAAACGTCAGCCTTCCTGCTCCTATGATGCTGCTTGGCCTGCTGTGTTCATCCAGCTCTAAACCTTGTTGTCTCAGATTTTCCAGCATCTGCAGTTCCTACTATCTCTCTCAAATATATTTATAGTTTGTTTCACTGGGTTGGGCAACTTGTACTTTACCCAAGAACGTAATCCAAACAATAAGATGCAGAACATGCACTTCGCTAAGAAATGCCACAGATGACTTGTGGATATTACAATATTCAATGAACCTTCTCTTTCAATAATTTATTACAAAAGTCAGGATTAGAAGTTTGCCAATAGCCTTACACTGATGACTGTTTAAAGAACTGGCAACTGTGTACTACCACAAAGGAAACTGAAAACTGCATCTATTTCATGTTTAATGTGTGTTAAAAGGTCTTGGTATAATTTAATGAAATGTTTGGGAATAAACGGCTAATTGGCTTTTGGGTATGAAGCCACAAGTACTTTGAAAGGCGTAATGTTGAAGTTGTATGGGACTGAATGGAACAGCACAGAGTGTGCGGTTGAAATCTTTAATATTTCTCATTTACATTACAACCTTGGACTCAGAAGCTTTGTACAGACCCACCAGATTTACAGACAACACCAAAAGTAGAAGTAGTGGAGTAGGTGAGAGCTGCATCCAACATGGCATCGACAGACTAATAAACTAAGTCAAATGAGTTAGTAGATACTAGAATAGCCAATTATTCAATACTGTTATAAATTATTGCACACAGAAAAAAGTGAACTCTCTATCATCTTTGAATACCAAGGGTAAAACAGATGTGAATTGGACACGCCTAATCACTGAAGCAGCCAAAGGAAGCTGTGCTTATACATATACAAGCTCTGCACAGGCCGCGTCTTTGGTACTGTCCTATATGGTCACAAATATAAAGATGACTATTTAGTCCTGGAAATGGTACAGAATGGAGTCATAGCATTGACCCCAATTATGAGGAAGCTGAACATCTACGGATGGTATTAAAAATTTAAGCTTCCAGTTTTAAAGCACATGACAGGGTTTTGAAGATCATAAGCAGTGAAAAGGCAAAAGCAGCAATACAATTTCAAATGAACCCATGACAACAGGTTCAAACTATTGAAAGGCAAATTTAAGACTGATAACAGAAGGGCTCTTGTGATGCAGTGTTCATAACACTGGATCAGGAGATCCAGGTTCAAGTCCCACGTGTTACAGATGTGTATTAATATCTCTGAACAGGTTGATGAGAAAATATTAAAGAAAGACTGGTGACATCTGGAATAGCTGTCATCATTGAATGATTTAGTCTTTTGCCTTTTCTGTTCAAAAAGAAGTGATGATGCTGATATTTCTAAAGGGCAATTAGGGATAGTCAATCCATGCTGGTTGAGCTAGCAGCAACATCCAAATCCTATGAACAAATGAAAAACTAGAAACATTATCTGTACAGTCAATTAGCCTTTATTAGTGAAGATAATATGCTTGAAATTCTCAGGTTCAATCTGCAAGCCATTAAAAGGACATCTAGTCTGATTAGACCACAAGGGAAGCAATGACCTAGTGGTATTATCACTGGACTGTTAATCCAGAGACGTGGATAACATTCTGGGGACCTGGGTTCGAATCCAGCCACAGCAGATGGTTGAATTTGAATTCAATAAAATATCTAGAATTAAGAACCTAATGATGGCCATGAATCCATTGTCGACTGTTGGAAAAACCTGGTTCACCAATATCCTTTAGGGAAGGAAACTACCATCCTTATCTGGTCTGGCCTACATGTGATTCCAGACCCACAGCAATGGGGCTGACTCTGAACTGCGCCCCTCTGGGCAATTAGGGATGGAAAATAAATGCTGCCGAGCCAGCGACTTCTTCATCCCATTAATTAATAAAAAAGCCTGGAGTACGATGAACAATTCTAGGTACATCTTAGCAAGAATACACAGGTCTTGGAAGGTACAGTGTAGATTTACCAGAATGATCCCTGGACTCCAAGAGTTGAATTGTAAGGGAAGCTATATACAAACCAGGAATGTATTTATCAGGTTTTGGAAGCTTAAGTGACGATTTGATTAAAGTGGAACAGATAGACTAGGCACAAAGCCTATATCTACTAGTTGGGGGGCATATTCAGAACAAAACGTTTAGAACACACTTCTACAAAACCAAGACTGTGAAAGTTTAGAACTGTCTTTGGGAAACGCAAGTTGATACTACATCAAATGTCAAATGGAATGCTAATAGATTTCTATTATCCAAAAGATATTAAGGAACATGCGGCAAAGACAGAAAATGGCATTTGGTCGCTAATCAGTCACGATCTCATTGAATGGTGGAACAGAAGCAAGGGTTGAATTGGTCTGTTCCTGTTTCTAGATTCGCCAACATCTTTCCTCCAATGCTTCAGGTATCTCCTAAAGCCTGACACACACACTTTTGCAACTACACAACTTACTTTTCCAAATGTTTTCCAACTCATTTCTTTACTCTAGAGTTCAGTCTTGAGCTTCCAGACATTTTTTTTTAAAACAACCCATATCTTACATTTTTAATATTTTTATTGGCATTATAGTCAAAGTTGAAAACATTTCAAGTACGGTCTGCTCAGTCCCTTATAAGTTTCAGAAGACCTCAGAAGGGTGACTAAGAGCGTCTATAAATCAATCTATCTTTCTCCAGGACAATTAGGGATGGCCAATAAATGCTAGCCTTATCATTAATGCCAACATCCTGAGAAAGAATTAAAATAATCTGACCATTGTTTTGGGCTATAGAATGAACATTAATAGCAATATTAATCCCAGATTCCTTTCCAAATATCCTTTGGCAAATTTAATTCTAACTTTTTTTTAAAACGAAAGCATTGATCAATGTTAGATTCAATTCTATTCAATAATGCATTACACAGAATTTACAGCATAAACACAGGCAAATCAGCCTAACTGGTTTATGCTGGCGCGCCTGTTCCATGCAAATCTCCTCCCACCCTACTTTATCGAGTCCTACCAACATTTTGAGTTAGTTCATTCGGAGCATGTGGGCTTCACTAGCTGGGCTGGCATTTATTGCCCATCTCTAACTATTTGAAAAAGGTGGTGGAGCTGCCTTCTTGAACCACTATAGTCCATTTAGCGTAGGTACACCAACAAATGCTGCTAAGAAGCAATTTCCAGGTATTTGGCCCAGCAACACTGAAAGAATGGCAATATATTTTCAAGACAGAACGAAGAATGGTGTGGAGAGGAAGTTGGAGGTGGTGATGGTCTCGTTTATCTGCTGCCTTAGGATTTTTTTCAGGTACATATTTAGCTATATTCTTCATCTCCTTTAGCCATCCTCAGTATTGTTATCAAATTTAATCAACTGAAGAGTTAATTTATACAAGTTTATAAAACTACAAACACTACAGTTGAGAACACCAAATCTTAGTCAATACTTCTTCCCCAGTCTTTTTACATCCCTGCTACATTTTAACACAGGCACAAAAAAAATACTTCAGACAGTGGAAATCTAAAACAAGATACTGGAAATTCTTGGCAGGTCTGGCAACATCTGTGGAGAGAGATACATAGTTAACACCACAGGCTGATGCCTTTTTGCCAGCTCTGGTTAAAGGTCATCAATTAAAAAAACCTGTTTCTCTCTTATTTGTTGCTGACTGCATTTTCCGTACCTGCTTTTTGTCTCTCAGACTAGCTTCTTGCTTGGTTGTACGTTTTATCCTAGATTTGTAGCAGTTTCAATACAACTGTCTTCCATGTCATGATTTTTGAAAATCTAAATAAACCATATTACACTGAGTGCTGCTATTGTATGCACCTGTAACAATCTCAAGGAAATAGAGGTGGATTGTTCGTTAAAATTATCTCTTCTAAATCCTTGTTTAAGTAATAACACGAATTGTGTTATTGCTACTCTGCAGGCCCTCAGAACTGATTTAATTATTTCATCCTTACTGATAATCAAATAATGGAAATGTAATTGTTTGGGTCAGATAGGATATCCATTTTAAAAAAAGGCAGATTCTATTCTTATCTGCTTCTAGTCATATAAACTGCTCTATATTAAATCTGGGATGTTTCCCAATTGTAATAATACTGTCCAAATTGGAGTAGACCATATTCTTCACACAATCATCCTTTCAAGTGAGCAATTACTGAAGCAGTGGTATACATATTATGGCCCAAAGATCACTTGCAGCCCCCTTTCCTCTCACCTGCATCTCTCAGACCTGCAGCACTCTGTGCTAGAACTCCATTCTCAACCTTGCAAGCCTATGGAGTGGCTAAAACCAAATTCAGGAAAGGAAGACTGAAGATACGGACAGTGAACCTAAGAAAGAGTATTAATTAGCAATGGATAGGCACACAATTCAGGATCTCTTACCAGGATATCCTGTTGATGCCTTGATATACATCTGTCCATACTGATCTTCTCCCATAGTCTCATATGCTTCATCATCATCATCCTCTTCCTCATTATGGTATGACGTTGGACTGTCTGTGGTCTGATTACTGCTTCCACCTGGGCTTGTGCGCTCTGCTTGAACATAGGTTACTGGCTGCACAAAAGATGTGGCTCCCCAGGATCCAGGATAGGAAACTCTGGGCAATTTCAAAGGTGTTGCACAGTTTAGGTGACTGGCACTCTCACGCAGGTTGACTTCCAGTGAGCGCTTTGTTGCAAGGGTATAAATGCCAGGCGCTGTCAGATCTTGCTCGCAGTGTTCACTCTTCACTCGAGACAGCAACGGAATGGGCAAAGCTGGAGATACAACAGTTGGAGTGGCAGGTGGCTGTAGGGGACAAGGACTCTGCGGTTCAGAGCCAGTGTCTTCAATGGAGGTGGTCTGAGAGTCACAGTGCGGGGAACTCACTTTGAACATCAGTTCGGTTCCTTTCTCGACAATACGTTGTATTTGCAGGAAGCCTGCTGTATACATCACCACCAGCTGCTCACTAGCTGCCATGGTGAGCTTGCCGGTGTAACAAAAGGAAAGGATCTGCTGAAAGCAGGCAGGCGGCACCATGGCGGGCAACTCAAATGCACTTTTGCTGTTGCCACTGAACAAGTCCCTGAAATAAAGGCTGTTGGCAGCCAGCACGGCACGGTGTGCCTTGAAGGATTGACCTTTGACAACGATAGAGACATCGCAGAACAACCCCATTAACCGCTGTTCGTTCAGGCATCCCAGGACATTGTTCCCAAAATTTGGAATCTCGAGATGGAGGATCTGAGCCATGGCTAAGATGAAGTGCTGGTCCTTGCAAGAATCAGTGTGACAACATCGAAGCACAGCTGCAAACAAAACATAAAGGGTTGGGGAGGAAGAAAAAAAGTCAACAGGTCAGAACTCATTCTATTTCAATATCCCAAAGAAAAGCATCCCAGAATCACAAGCAAAATCTGAAAAATTATGCACATTTGTTTTCAAACTAAAGCCACTGAAGAATCAGTCAGTACAAATTACCTGATATTTAAAAACAGAATCAAATCACTGCTTTAGACAGCTCAGACTGTACAAGTCAACTCCCTGTACTGCTGTGCACTGAATGTAAATGAACAGGAGGGACAGCGATTAACATTCAGGCTACACACTTCAATGAATGGAGCTTTTGACTGACGGCCCTAAATGCCCACCAGCTTAGAAACGAGACTTCCAAACACAGTACTGTTATCTTGTTGCTAAACTGAAGTTTTGCTTTGGTACAAGCTGTAGTTTGATGACTCATTGCAAAGATGGCAGTAAGCAGTATGCTTTGTCTCACCGTTGAGCAATGCCTGGGAAACAGAGATCGTTTTGAATTATGTATGTACCCAAGAGCTCCCACTGCAGTTTAGTCAATAGAGCCATTCACAATGCTAAAACATTTCAATCATTTCAAGTATTCAGCCCCATTAAAACTACAGGTCGTTACATTAAACCTTGTTAAAACTTACAGCCGTTACAGTAGCCAATGTACCCACCTATCAACGAGGATTAATGCCACTGAGCCTTTTCTCTATTAATGCAAATACACTATGTGGTCTGACTAAATATTCCAACACACGCAAGTCTACAGCAGTCATGTGTCATGTTAGACAGCAAGCTCAGTGCAGGAAATGTGCCAATAATTTGAACTATTCAGTGATGATGCAGTACTGTAACATTAATGAAATCATTTACACTGTTTTAAAGATGAAAAGGCAGTACTGAATTGGGAGCTTAAAAACATTTTAATTTTACTTTTAAACACATGATTATTAGAATCTTATAGGACAGAAGCAGTATTTTAGTCAACGCGCACGTACTCAGAGGGTTATCCAATTAGTCCTACCTCTCATTCGTTTCCTATAACCCTGCAAATATTTCAAGTACATATCCAAAATACCACTGAATCTGCTTCCATTGTCCTTTCAAGCAGTGCATTCCAGACTTTAACACGTTTGCAGCATTTAAAATAAAATCTTATTTCCCCTGTGGTTCATTTTCCAATTATCTCAAGTCTTTGTTATCTGGTTTCAGATAAGTAAAAACAGTTTCTCCTTATCAAGGGCTTGATAGAGTAGATAATCTTGAATACTTCCACTGGCAAAAGGTGGAAACATTAACTCTCTTGCTAAAGTTGTTGCCTGAATGACTGCATTCCAGCACCTGCAATATTTTGCTTTTGCAATAAGGCAATCATCTTGTAAATCAACTTCTCTCCTTCCCATTGACAAGTATTATACTGAATCAGTTCACGAGACAAAAAAAGTTATCCCAAAGAGGAGTTTGCAACTTATACATTTCCAGGTTCAAACACCACATTAAAAATAGGGTAGTTTAAATTTACAAATCCTACAAAAAAAATGTATTTGCATTCCTTATAAGTTATCAATAAAGCATTGCAAAAATTGGTTTTGGACAGAACACTCAACATTTCAGAGTGTGCATCTTTAAGTTATCACAATCAATAAAAAATATTAAAACAGTAGACAATTTCTACTTCATGTTGTTTGCAGTCTCAATGGAAGGTATTGAGAACTTGAGACCGGAGACATGAAGAAATGAAATTGAAATGCCCAAGAAAATGTGCCATATTAACAACAGGGCATCAGAGCATAGGAGCATAGTGACAACAATTTAGGACTCAGAACTCATGCAGAGTTCAAGTCCCACTTCAAGTTGTGAATTTGAAATTCAATGTTTGGCCACATATGAGCTTGCTACTGGAAAATAATCATGAACATGGCACAGCTTCCCTGAAATATCTAGCTGTCTCATCCCCAACAGGGACATTTTTACCATTGTCTGCACCTCCAGTCCAACATTAGGTGATAAACTAAAAACCATTAATTGGCTGAGTAAACTGCTCAAATCATGAATAATCCTAATGGAGTGGAATCAAAGATCGCAATGGTTAAAGTGGAATACAAACAGTAGCTTCTTCAGCACCATTAAAATGACGGCAAAAATCAAATAAAACAAGACAAAGCAGAGTTCTAGCAATATGCAAATAGTCATGGAAAATAAAATAACACTAAACTTTTTGAGAATGGTTCCATGCATAAGCAATTTCAATTATGAAGACAGAGAGAAGTTACGAGGGTTTTCCTTGGAGAGGACAAAGTCAAGACTTGATCTGAAAGAAGGTTTCAAAATGAGGTCTGCACAAAATGGATTGGGAGAAAGTGTTTCCACTTATTACAAGTTCAAGATTGAGACAACATAGATTTGATGTAACTGCAAAGGCAGCAAATGTGAAGCGAAAATTAACTTTCACGCAGTGAATAGTTACGATCTGGAACTCCCTGACTGGAAGGGGGATGGAGGTAGGTTGAAATCAAGGTATTGAAGAAGGTATTGGATGATTATTTGAACAGAAACAACAAGCAAGGTTATCGGAATAAAGCAGGAGAATGCCACTAAGTCTAAATGCTCATTTGGCGAACTGGTGCAGGCACAATGGGCTGAATGACCTCCTCCTGCACCCTAACAATTCTGAGATTCTACAATCACTCGCATAAAACGAGTGCCATACCTGGAGCAAAGACAGATTAGTCTTTTCTGAAGATAGCCTGCTAATGTGGTACACTTTCTTTTGAGGATTTAAAATATTAACTTGCATTACTTGCTGCAGTTTCTGCCTCAAGTCAAAACACCGTGGGGTTTAAACCTATTCGCAGCACTTGGGCACAAAACGAGCGGATTCTCCCTCCAGTGCAGCTGAGTGAGTGCTGCAGAGTGCAGTCTTTCAGATGAAGGGGTTAAACTGAAGCCCCACCTGCCTATTTGGACAAATATAAAAGCAGGACAGTTATCCCTCAATCAACATCTCAAAGAGATTATCTGGCCCTTCTTAGACTGCGCTTGTTGGGCACAAATTGCATGCTGCATTTTACACATAAGAGCAACTTCACCGCCTGTGAAGCCCTTTGGGACATGTGTAGACTGCAAAAGGTGTTTTATAAATGTTAAGTCTCTCTTCCTTGCCTGTTCAGCTAAAACAAATATCACACAGTCCAAGAGCTTACAAGTTTTACACGTATAATTCTGTAATTATTCATGAGATGTGCAATTGCTCTGCACATCTTAATTCAGTTTACCTCTACAAAAGTTTAAGTTTCCTCTTACATCCAAATTGCCAGCTCGAGATTTTACCAGAAACAAGTTGTGCCATTTGATCTTAACACCAAAACAGATCTGTATTATGTTATCGTTTTTAGTTGGATAGAAACCAGTGTCAACATGAATAATCAAGGAGATGAAAACAACAGGGCCACATGACAACTTCAGATACAAATTTAGCTTCAATAAAACTAATCTGTGAAATATTTGTAGTTAGCTATTTTGATCTCACCAATTAATGAATTTTGCCTTTATGACAAGAATCCAGCAAAAAAAAGTCTTCACACATTTTAGCAAACACTGCAAAGAAAAAAGTATTGCCTACATTCAGTAAATATGACTAGAAAATTGTTCATTCTGACTATTTCTAGCAAGAGAATTATCACTCTATAGAATCATACTCGTACACTTGACAGCAACCAAAGCCTGCTCTCCATTTAACTTAAAGGTCAATGAACTTCTCTGAGCATAATGTCTGCACACCTTACCTGCTCTTCTGTCACACTATTTTGCTTCACAGTCCTTTTTTCCTGCATCCTGCCCCTGGTTCATATAGTATCTTGCCTTCATACCATCAGTGTAGCATGAAATTTACAAAAAAAATCCCAACATTGCTTGCTCATCAATATATGAAAAAAAAATCAATGCTTTCTCAACCTAATACAGTACATCTTGTATGACTCATGAGACTAGCTCCCTAAAGTTAGCTCTAAAATGAGTCAATACCATAAAAAGTCAATTAGTGACTAGCTTCAATGAATCAGATTCTGTCACTTTCATTGCTTCATTACCATTTATGGTGGCACAGCTTGGTATTTTATTAGCAAATCTGTTCCTGAGTCAGCATTGCTCGACATGAGAACATCAGGACAGAATGCCCATTTATTTAGCATTGAATATTATGAAAACACAGTTTAGCTGGGACATGTGCCATGTACTTATTTCCCCCTTTGTGCTCCATCAGATTTCTATTTCTGCTAGTTTACAAATTTACTACTGAGGATATGTTCAAAATACCAGTTCCCTTTTGGTGCTCTTTCACCACCAGCCCCCACGCCCCAAATCTATGCAGCGGTCAACAATGCTGGAAAAACAGACTCATTTGCAGCAGATGAACTAAAGTTAAATCGCAATTTACAGTGCAAGTATCACAGTATCAAAAGCATGTGGAACGTTTTATTAAAATTACAAATATGGCAACTGTATTAATTATACCTTTTTTCAAAACAAATTTATAACAAGCTTTTACTGATTAGTGACCTATGATTAGTAGCCATAAATGATACAAATCATTACTGATAAAAGCAGTGATGCACTAGACTAGAAGCTATCGCTCTTTGTTTCACTGGATTTTAAACTTGCCAGGCCTTCAGCTCTGTAAATGAAAAGCAAAACTGCTGCATGTATTCATGTAAAAGACTAATTTCTTTTGTCAGACAGTAGGGTGCCAACATTTACACAAGTAACAATTGGAGAAGTTGAAATCCATCCTCTCCCATTGCCTCACCATTACAGAGTAGCCAGATCAGAGACTGTTTCTGCCAACCCCATCCCTAGAATTGGCATCGAAGTAGAAGATATTTGACATCACACATTGATATGTGCAGACATGAAGAGCCAAGATGTCATCCTCACTATTGTCCTATTTTATGATTCAAACACAAGGAAGAGTTTTACTTGGAGATAGTAGGAACTGCAGATGCTGGAG